TGACAGTCTAGAAAAACAAATGGTTGTGATCCTTGTAGAAGTAGACCACAAAGACTAGCTTCTTTCTGAGGTCCAGATAGTACTCTCAATGATACTCTGAGAACTTGGGTGGTACTGATTTCTACCCATAGGATATGTCTGACCACTTGTAATTTTCAAATTAATTGTTTTGCTTTTCTCTCAAGCTTCTATAGGTATATATTTTCTGAAAAGGATAGGTACAAGGAATGTTGATGATAACAACCCAAATCAGAAAACATCATAGGGAAATAGCAGGCAGCAGAAATGTATTAGTTGACATATCTGAGATTGCTTTTTTGCTTGAGGGGTCCAAATAGAGATTTTAAACTATTATCTACATTTCAATCCAATTATATAACTTCTCTCTGAGTACATACTAAGTAATAGGCTGCTCTGATTATATGGTGATTAACATAACAGATCTTGTTATGATCCTAATGAAACTAATGGCATAGTGGGTGAAAAACCCAATAGACAAGTAAATGAACCTTTAAATTACAAATGCTGATGCTATGAAGAGAAGGAACAGAGCGTTTAAGAGTATATAACGATGTGCAGGATTACCTAGATAGTAATGGCAGTGAAGATCTCTCTGATATGAAAACTGAGATTAAAAGGGAATCAGACATGACGGTCTGGAGGGAAATAATTCCAGACAGAGGAAATATATGTAGAGGGTGCTGTCAGGAAGAAAAAAAAAAAAAGCTTTGCTTGTTCTAGAAACTGAATTCATCTCAGTGTAGTTAAAATATAGAGAATAAAGAAAAGAATGTATTTAAGTGACGTTTATGGGCACAGGAGACATATTAGCTATGGCCTTTAGGCCATGATGAGAAGTTTGGCTTTCATACAATAGAAAGCCAGCAAAGAATTTTATGGAGTAGAATGACATATGTCAAAGAAGGTTATTTGGACCACAGTATAGAAAGAGTTAGAAGGGGTTAGTGAGTGCCACGACAAAGGTAAGAGAGTATGGAAACAAGCATAGGTTCCAATTCTAATATCTTACCTCTATACTGTGCAAGTTTTGTGACTTTGGTGCAACTTATTTAACTTCTTTTGGTCTCAGTTTCCTCATCAGTAATATGGAAATAATCATAGGGCTGCTATGAGGATTAATGAGATAATATGTGAAGAGTGCTTAGCCTGCAAATAAATGGTAGGTCTCAATAAATGGTAGCCAAAATTAATATTAGTGTTAGACACAGTATGGAGAATGGACTACAGGGGGTGAAACTGAAGTGTAGGAAGTCTGCTAAATCAACCTGTTTCAATAGTCAAGAAGAAAGATAACAGTGATGTAGATTAGGAGGGCAACAGTGGAAATGTAGATGGATTGTACAGATTTTTATAAGGGAGAATCACCAATTTTATGATTGGATATGGAGGGAGTATAGTTATAGGGGTTGGATAAATCACTACTTTTCAGCTTGAGTGTCTGGGAGGAGAGTCATGGCACTTACTGAGCGGGGGAGTTCAGACTCAAGATTGAATTACCAATCTTACACATTTTTCTTAGACAGGAATCAAAGATATGTCTAGGTTGCAGAGGAGAAAAATTGGCAACAGAGGTGGCACAAGCCAACTAGAAATAGTCAACAACAGAGCTAGAACCAAAGAGAAACAGAGACAGTGGCAAGAACAGAGATAGAGAGAAGGAACATACTCCAGTTTTAGCCCTTCTATTCAGCATTTTTCTGTTGGTGTTTTCTTAGGTTGTTCTCCTTTCTTAAATTTCATAAATGTCACAGATTGTCCACAGAAAGCTAAATGTTCCCTGAGAGAGCTTATATTTTTGTCCTTCTGAAAACAAATACCCCAGCTTCACGCCACCATGGATATTTTACATTTAATTGTCACCAGATTTGGGCCCAAACCACCCTATCTTCCCTTCAGTCTAGTCAAGAGGTTTTGGAAAGCAGAACACGCAAATCTCTAAGCTCACATTAAACTGAATTACAAACACATAAAAACCCACAGGATAAAAAAAGATGGTGTGAACTTGATCTCTAGTTTGCTGTTCTGGCTTAATAGGTCTCTGTTATTTAACACAGTGGAACATCGCCCTTTAGTAAGTGAAACTTTCTACACCAGTGAAGCAGTAACAAACAGCCATGTCTATAAAGTAAAAAAGTGGAAGTGTGATTTGGGTGGGTGTGAGATATTCTCAGTTCTTGGAACTGTAATTCACTTTATGCATCTTCCCTTGCTTTCTCACAGTTTTTGTATGGATAATAGATAGTAGTAGAAACATTGCTAATAATGAAGTCAAAGTGGATGTTGAGGATAGATAGGTGTTATGTGTGGAGACAGGTGTTTAGTTATATCTTATTAGCCTAATTAAAGTAATCTTAGTGTTATAAGATTATGAGGTCTTACTATAGGATTAGAAAGGTTCTTCTATAATGTGCCCTCCAGAATGTCATAAACCCCATTCTATTAAGTCGTCCCTCCTAAGCAGAGAGAAGCAAGTGGTGTAGTGGAAATAGCATAGACTTTGGAGAAAGTAAGACATAATAGTGTGTCCAATTTTTACGATTTACTAAGTTTGTTACCTCAGAAAATTTACTGCATCTTTCTGAATTTCGATTACCTTATCTCTCATCTGCAGAGTAATAATAGTACTTACCTCTTATGATGGCTGTGAAAATGAAATTGAATAATGCGTGTGAAAAATTGCATAGCAGATTCTGGGGTGCAATGCTGATAGTCACATCATGCTAATTATTTCCTCTTTTCACCTGTGAACGTCCTTCTACCTTCTGTTCAAAGTAATACATACATAAGCAAGATGACTGCATGACATTTCAGGACATATCACAGGACAAGTAGGGAGGAAAAATATTAAGGGAGGGAAAGTGAAAGTAATAGTAGAGTAATGGTAGCTCAGAATTTTGACTCTCTTTTATATGTGGATTAATCATTTGGGGTTCTGCTTTTATTTATTTATTTATTTATTTATTTATTTATTTATAATTGTTTTAATGTTTGTTTTTGAGAGAGAGACAGAGTGTGAACAGAGGAGGGACAGAGAGAGAGGGAGACACAGAATCTGAAGCAGGCTCCAAGCTCTCTCTGAGCTGTCGATACAGGCCCCGATGCAGGGCCCTAACTCATGAACCATGATATCATGCCCTAAGCCAAAATCCCTTGCTTAACTGACTGAGTCACTCAGGTGCCCCTGGGGTTCTGTTTTTAATTCACATTTCTATTGTCTGGAATAAGACTTAAAATGATATAGAAAGTGATTCTGCTACTTATGAGGAGAATCTGAAAGCAAACCTCTCCTTTGTTTTGTAAACTTACTTAAAACAAAATAGAAACAATTAAAACAACAAAAGTGCTATTCCACCTAAGGAAAAACCTCACTCCTTTATTTCTTCCACTTGTAGCTCTAATCTCAGCAAACATTCTTGCAATATGAACAGAAGCTGTGTTTGTAATTTTTTTTTTTTTTTTTGGAGAGGGAAACAAATGAATGGAAGGGTGTGTATAAGTATTAGGCTCCTTGTACTACCATTTGAAGTCCTAGATCTTCTGTTTAGTAGCTTTGTATCTCTAATAAACTTCTCTCTTGGTCTTATTTCTTCTACATGTATTATGTTAAGGCAGAATAAAATAATTTTAAAGGTTCTTTCCAATATAAAGTTCTAAAAGAATGTTAAAGTAAAATAATGAAGTTGTTGCTTTCTTATTATTTTCAGGCAGCTTGCATAAATCCATGACCAGACCTTGAGAAGTCCTAAAGATGACTTTACATTCCCCATGTTCTATGTATAATACATAATAAAAACCTCACTGAAATGTAAAATAAGATTAAGGAAAATTCAATTTTTAAAAATTTTTATGGAGACTATTTGAGTGAAAAAAGTATTAAGTTTCATATTGTTTCCAAAAAATGATTTTTGTGGCCTAAGTTTCTGGTTCCCTAATCAATGTTTACTGGGACTGTTGGATAATTTGCCATGTCCACGATGTTATACCAGTACAAAATTCTTAAGCAGAAAATTCCATATCACACAAGGAGAATTCCTAGTTCAGCTTCTAAATTCATGCATTAATGATATTTTTTATGTAAATTGAAATATAACCTTAGACGAGAGAGAGAGAGAGAGAGAAAGAAATTATAAGAACCACCTATGATATTGTGATAGAATAATAAGGAAGTAGTTTTCTCAAGTCTTGAAACTTAGCCAGCCTTATCAATGCAGGCTTGAGAGGCAGGGCCATTTTCCAAGTGCTGGAGTACCAAGGTAGGAAGTCAAAACCCAATGGCCCAGGTGGTAGACAAAAGAGAAGAAAGAGGACATAAAAGGTGAGGTGAGGTTGGATTTTTTAAATATAAAATTTTAATGTTTATTTATTTCTTAGAGAGAGAGAGAAAGAGAAAGAGCATGAGAGGGGGAGGGCAGAGAGAGAGGAAGACACAGAATCCAAAGCAGGCTCTGGGCTCTGAGCTGTCATCACAGAGCCCATGCAGGGCGCAAACTCACTAACTGTGAGATCATGACCTGAGCTGAAGTCAGACGCTTAACCAACTAAGCCACCCAGGTGTCCCATAATTTCTATCATTGCAATTGTAAATGAGTAAGCACTATTCACTTTAACCAGGCCTTGGGGCAAGAAAAAATTTGATAAAAAAGAAACAAAATGAAATACCATACTTTTTTTTTTTTTTTTTTTTTTTTTGTGGCGGTAAGACTATGAGACTAAACATTTTAGGATGTCCTTGCCTGCAAGACACAATTTAGACAATCTCAGAGGGCAGTTTGGGGACAGTTGAAACGTTTTCAAACTGATTCATTAGATGACCTTGGACAACTAATATATCTTCCTTGAACATCTGCTCTTTCATCTGTAAACAAGGTTTTTCTTTTTTCTAATTCTAATATTCTGTTTTCTTTAAGTATAAAAGAATCTGGGTGTTGGCTATAGAACTTGTTAGTCATTATATTCTTTTTTTTTCTTTGATTATGCAGGGATTTTAACTCCACGGCTTACCTTGATGAATATACTGAAATATTCAAGATGGGTAGCAACAGTACCAGCAATGCTGAGACTGACTGCAGTGCTATTAATGTGACATTTCAGAACTCCCTTTATGCAACTACCTACATCCTCATATTCATCCCTGGTCTTTTGACCAATACTGCAGCCTTGTGGGTTCTGTGCCGCTTCATCAGCAAGAAAAATAAAGCCATCATTTTCATGATCAATCTCTCTGTGGCTGATCTCGCTCACGTGCTGTCCTTACCTCTCCGGATTTACTATTACATCAGCCACCACTGGCCTTTCCCAAAGGCCCTTTGCTTGCTGTGCTTCTACCTGAAGTATCTCAACATGTATGCCAGCATTTGTTTCTTGACATGCATCAGCCTTCAGAGATGTTTCTTTCTCCTCCAGCCCTTTAGGGCCAGAGACTGGAAGCGTAGGTATGACGTAGGCATCAGTGCTGCCATATGGATCATCGTGGGAACTGCCTGCTTACCATTTCCCCTTCTGAGAAGCACCTACTCATCCAACAACAATCAGTCCTGTTTTGCTGATCTTGGTTACAAGAAAATGAATACAGTGGCTTTGGTTGGAATGATTACAGTTGCTGAACTTGCAGGATTTGTGGTCCCAGTAGTTATCATCGCATGGTGTACCTGGAAAACTACTATATCCTTGAGGCAGCCACCAATGGCTTTCCAAGGAATCAGTGAGAGGCAGAAAGCACTGCGGATGGTTTTTATGTGTGCTGCAGTCTTTTTCATCTGCTTCACTCCTTATCATATTAACTTTTTTTTTTACACGATGGTGAAGGAAACCATCATTAGCAGTTGTCCCATTGTAAAAAGCACACTGTATTTCCACCCCTTTTGTCTATGCCTTGCAAGTCTCTGTTGTCTTTTGGATCCAATTCTCTATTATTTCATGGCCTCAGAGTTTCGTGACCAACTATCTCGCCATGGCAACTCTGTGACCCGTTCCCGCCTTATGAGCAGGGAGAGTGGTTCATCAATGATTAGCTAAAAATAAAATAATTCTTCAGTTGTGACTTTAACTATGTTTCCTAGCTTTATCCAAAGGCCAGAATGACCAGCCAGACAATTTGTTTAATGGAAATTAGTGAACAATGGAAATTTTCTTGTGTGATAGTTGTGGTCCCAGGGATATAATCCTGGAGGCAGAGTGTAAGAAATGTGGGAGAGGAAGGAAAGATAGAGTTTGCCTGTTTCCTCTTTGAAATTCAAGATACTTTCTTAAGAAATCTAGATGTTTACAGATGTTTTCAACCAAATGGAGATTGTATATTTTATCTTAAACATTTCTTCAGTAAATATGTTGTTAATAAGATACAATAAATACATGAATCTTTTCCAAGATGTAAAAGTAAATTTCTTTTATATGAATAATTTTATTTGTGAGAGTAAAATTCTTCAATCTTTTTAAGAGATAAATAAATGCACAGGTAAAGAGGGGATAACAATTTAAGCAATGTGTGCATAAATTTCAGAACCACAAACCTATTACTGAATAATGGGCATAGAAATTTGCTTACTCACTAAAAATGCATTGGATAACTATTGTAGTCTGGGTTACCAGAATTTCATGGGTACTTTAACAATATAGCCTCTCATCTGGTCCTTTTTAAAAATTTTTGATGTTTATTCATTTTTGAGAGACAGAGTGTGAATTGGAGAAGGACAGAGAGAGAAGGCAACACAGAATTTGAAGTAGGCTCCAGGTGCCCAGCTGTCAGCACAGAGCTCAACATGGTATTCAAACCCACAAACCACGAGGTCATGACCTGAGCCAAAATCGGATTCTTAACCAATTGAGCCACCCAGGGTCCCCTCATCTGGCCCTTCTAATAAACTTGTGGAAATTTCCAATACAAGCAAATAAATAGAACCTCAGAGAGGTGAAAAACTTGCCTGAGGATAAACAGTGGTGAGCCAAAAATTTTTCTTGATACACATATATACTTAAGTTATTCCTTCTATTTGTGTTGCTACTTTTACTAGGTCAATATTAAACTTGGCATTAAAGGTGAAGACACAGACCAAAGCTAAGCTTCATGAGACCAAGACCATTTCTACATAATTTGCTTGAGAGTATCTGAAAACTCTGGGCTATTGGGATGGCATATCAGGCTTCAAGCTACAAAGTATCAAATGATAAACAGATAGGTTGTTCTAATACTGTCTGAATCTACAGTCTTAATGATCAGAGATATAAAAGACACAAATAGCTCATTATTTCCTACTAAATATATTTTAGGGTTTAATGTAGGTTATATAAAACTCATAAACAGATGAAAGAAGAAGGTTATAAAGTTGTAATATGTAGAAATTCCTTATATATGTTGGATATTATTGGATATATCATTTGCAAATGTCTTCTCCCATTCAGTAGTTTGTTTTAATTTGTTTTGTTGATGGTTTATTTCACTGTGCAAAATTTCTTTTATCCCCTTGCCTTAGTGGACATATCTATAAAAATGTTGTTATGAAGGGGATGGGCAAAAAAATAAAAGCTCAAAGATGAACATCTTGTGAAATTCAGATTTGGGGGGACTTTTTTGGAATATCTTTCTTCTTACACATTACTATACAACACTGAACAAATTTGTGTTTATTAAGAAAGTTCTGTGAGTAGGGCTCACAGAATTTCATTAGAAAGAGAAAATAGTATCACATTGTAAATGAATGGGAGAGAAATATATGTACTCTTTCTGGAAATCTCCTTATCTTTATTTTTCTGGTTGTTATGTCAATTATTTCAGAGCCATTATGGAGGATTTCAATATAAGCAATCCTCAGCTTCTCAGGTTGGCATGTATGAAGCTCAATACCTCATTCTCATCATTTATGCCTGTAATTTAAATAACACAGTCTTTATTTGCATGCAAGGAGGAGAAGGAACATGATTATCTTCAGAATATCCATTTGAACAGACTGGCTAAGGAAGAAGAAGGAGGGAAAACTTAAAAAAGAGAAATTAAAAGAAAGAAGGACAAGGTTTCTAAGAAGGAAGAGAGTTCTGTGATTATAGATTAATGAAACTGGTTTCCTTTTTTAATGTTTATTTTTGAGAGAGGGAGAGAAAGAGAGAGAGATACAGACAGAGAGTAGGGGAGAGAGGCAGAGAGAGAGGGAGACACAGAATTTGAAGTAAGCTCCAGGCTTCACACTGCCTGTACAGAGCTAAACACAAGGCTAGAACTCATGAACCGTGAGATCACAACCTGAGTGAAGTCATATGCTCAACCAACTGAGCCACCCAGGTGCCCCAATGAAACTGGTGTTCTTTTATTTTATTAACCTTCATCTGAAAGCACTGATTAAAGGTTTCCAGATATGTTTGGAGTTAGTGGAGGCATTATCAGAATGATTGTCTAGACAGTCCCACTCTAAAGACATGATTTGGAAAGGAAATTATTTGGAATTATACATTCTGCTGTCTATGGAGAAAAGATATCTCAGTTCAAAATACTAACACCTACTTTGAAGTTGTTGACTACAAGCAAGGATTTGTGGTCTAATTAATTTATGTATCTTTCATTTGGCTACCATAAAAGTGGAATTTTTGAGCTTTTTTTGACATATGAATCCCTATTGTAGGGAGAGAGAAAAACATGACATTAAAATAAGGAACGAATGTTCTTGAATTTAGAATGCTGGGATGCCTTGTTTAATGCTGGTGGAAAGGTAAATGTTTGATCTTATGAGATAACAGCTCAATAAATCAGTGAGTTTGGTTTAAGGCATTACAATGAACAACAATCTTAACATTTATCTGTATGCTTATTACAGAGATATCATCCAAGACAAATAGGACAGGAAAATATATCTCCTTGAATCAGCTTTTTAAAAAGTTATCATAAAATGTTTTACCTATTTGCCTCCACATCTGTGCAAGATACTTGTCAAAATCTGATTAGATAACATTCTGGATCTTATAACCCTGATAAAAGACTCTTTAGCCTGATAGTTTCAGTAAAAAGAAGATAGATATTTTTAGAGATATAATAACATTGTGCAATAATCTATTACCTTAAATGCAGTTTGTGCATAATTGGTTATGCTGTTTACCTTTAGAAAGCTTTAAATACTAGCACAGAGTAAAGATACAACACATATCAAAAATTAAAGAGATTATTCTTATGTAGTATGTAGTAATTTCTATAAAAATCTTAAGCATAATGCTCCTATTTGAAAATTTAACTTCTTTACAATAAAATTACTGCTATGGGAAAATCAATTTCCCCTTACATTCTTTTGCACATTTTCCAGGAATATAACCCATCATAAAAGTAACATTAGTGTTTATAATATAAATTTAAAGCCTCATTTGTCTTTTGAGTACTAAGTAATTTGGGTATCATACTAACTCTTTAGACCTAATACTGTGTCTTTAAGTGAATTATAAATTCAATATGTAATTACAAGTAAAAGTATACTATTATCTTCTAAGGCTCTGCAAGAGTTAATTTCTTAAAGTTCAGAATTTACCACCAATGAATAATAAGATATTTTGGTTCTCTGGTGTTTTAATCATTAACCATAATTTTGTTTTTGGAATAGAAAGTTGGTTTCCATTTTTCATATAGGTATTACGTTGTCCAAGTAAATTATACGTGCAGAATTTTTAATGTACAGAATTGATAAAATGAAAAGAGAACAGCTGGTTTGCAGAAGTTGAATTTCAAATTGGATACTAAATAGAAAGAAAGAGGGTAGCAAAATTCAGAAAATATACGCTAGCAGATTTCCTGATGTTCTGGGAGTAAATTTCCATGACCTAAGAAATTCCATCTGAATTGGGTCTTACACGATGGAAATATTTTTTTTTAATTTTAAAAATTTTTTACAAATAGTTTATTGTCAAGTTGGTTTCCATATAACACCCAGTGCTCATCCCCACATGTGTCCTCCTCCATGTTCCCTCTCCCCTCCTCCATGTCGCCCCTCCCCCCCACACCCATCAGGCCTCAATTTGTTCTCAGTATTCAAGAGTCTTTCATGGTTTGCTTCTCTCCCTCTCACCCAATATTTCCCCCCTTCTTCTCCCCCTTGGTCTTCAGTTAGGTTCCTCGTAATCCTCCTATACATGCAACCATGGTATTTGTCTTTCTCTGCCTGACTTATTTCGCTCAGCATAACACCCTCAAGGCCCATCCATGTTGCTACACATGGCCAAATTTCATTTTTTCTCATTGCCATGTAGTAGTCCATCGTATAGATAAACCACATCTTCTTGATCCACTTTTCTGTTGCTGGACACTTAGGCTTTTTCCATGTTTTGGCTATTGTTGAGGGTGCTGCTATGAACATTGGGGTACATGTGCCTCTATGAATCAGCACTCCTGTATCCCTTGGGTAAATTCCTAGCAGTGCTATTGCTGCATCACAGGAGACTTCCATTGTTATATTTTGAGGAACCTCTACACTGTTTTCCAGAGGAGCTGTACCAGTTTACATTCCGACCAAGTGTAGTAGGGTGCCCGTTTCTCCACTTCCTCGCCAGCATCTAGAGTCTTCTGATTTGCTCATTTTAGCCACTCTGACTGGCATGAGGTGGTATCTCAGTGTGGTTTTGATTTGTATTTCCCTGATGAGGAGGGATGCTGAGCATCGTTTCATGTGTCTGTTGGCCATCTTGATGTCGTCTTTGGAGAAGTGTCTGTTCATATTTTCTGCCCATTTCTTTGATGGGTTGTTTTTTCTTGGGGGGAGTGGAATTTGGTGAGTTCCTTATAGATTTTGGATATTAACCCTTTATCTGATATGTCATTTGCAGCTATCTTTTCCCATTCCATTGGTTGCTTATTAGTTTTATGGATTGTTTCCTTTGCCATGCAGAAGCTTTTAATTTGATGAGGTCCCAACAGTTTATTTTTGCTCCTGATTCTTTTGCTTTTGGGGAGGTGTCAAGTAAGAAGTTGCTGCAGTGGAGGTCAAGGAGTTTGCTTCCTGCTTTCTCCTCCAGGGTTTTGATGGTTTCCTGTCTCACGTTCAGTTCCTTTATCCATTTTCAGTTTATTTTTGTGTATGGTGT